ACAGCCTTTGCTTCTGCAGATTGAGAAGTCACAGCTGCGATGGCTTGGGCATGTGTTGCGAATGCCTCCAAGAAGGAAGGTAAGCAACTGTTCCTTATCCGACCGGCAAAAGGCCCAGGGGACGGCCAAGATTAACCTGGTGCAAACATATGCAGGAAATCTGTTCCAGGCTCCATTTGTCTTTTGCCGAAGCTCAGATTCTGGCACAGGATCGGAAACGCTGGAAGCACTGTCTGACGTGTCTGCCTCCGCGACCCGAAAGGAGAAGCGGCGTTGGAAGATGAAGATGATGATGAAATAATTTGACGGGGTCAGAACACGTGCGCATTCGAAATCTTGGTTGAGTATACTTTTATTCAACTTATATTAACAAAGTTTGTGACGCGGTCCTGCGTCTAATGCACTGCAGGTGCTTAAATAACATGGAGCCATGGTCTGCTTAAATGGTCCCCAATAGGCGTTTTGGAACAAAGGGGCGGTGCAATCAACTGTTGGTGTAAAGTGAGAAATAGATTTCTCTTTCTTTACACCGTTTCGATCCGGCGTCTTTATTTTTATGGAGAAATCGGTATTAATATTATGCATGATGTCAAGCACTTTAAACTTTGCATGTTGTTTCAATCCAAGAGATTTTAAAACTGAGTGTTTAAGCTTCTGTTAAATTAGACTTCAGCTATTATGTATTATTGCTATTTGTGTCGATTGCACGTCTGAACGGTTGGTTCGTATTAGAGCTCTTGAAAACAGCGTTCATTTTTCGTTTCCCAATGGCTGGAAAAGAATTACCTGGCGATATTATCACGCAACCAACACAAGTCCTATACTTCAATGCGCCCTTCGACGACAAGAAGAACATGCCCGTGCGACTGACCAATAACGGGACCCGGCGGATCGTGTGGGCGCTCAAATGCACCAATCTAAAAAGGCTATCCGTTGATCCGCCGGCCGGTGTACTGGACCCCAAAGAATCGGTAAGAGATTATGAAAATATCTAGCAGTTGATGTTCGCTTAAGTTTCAATTTCGATTTAGTTTTAACGTTATACGGTTTTCAGGTTTCGCTCTGGATTTCTTGCGAACCCTTTAATTATCAACTAGAGAGCACCGAGGGCGACAGGATAACTGTTGAATGGACGGACGCCCCACCAGACGCGCCGAAGAAATTTAACAGAGAATATTTTCAATCAGATGTTATAATAAGAAGGAAGAATCTACAGATTGCGTACAACGCGTAATTTGCCCCGTGAACAGAACGCAAAACGCCATAAATTCATCTTCTTCATTTCCCTATTAGTTATGTATCTGTAATCTCATTTTTTGAATAAAATAATTATTAAACTATCCTGGTGCAAATATATGGAATGAGTCTGCTCCAGACTCCGGCTGTCTTCTGATGAGGCTCAGATAGAAGCACTGTTTGATGCGTCTACCTCAGCGTTCAAGGAAGATTATGATAATTATTATTAAACAATTAATTGAAGAATCTGTTTAAGAATTATAACTTTAAAAAATGAAAAAACAATGAAGCTATAAACCACACAGTGAACGGAAGTCGATGCTCTTACAATGTTCTGTTTTCCGCTTTCTGCCCTTTCTTCCGTGATTTTGGAAGGATACCCTGCGCATTCTTAGCTACATCGCTCTTTGCATGAGAGCTGTTTGCTCTGCTCGACTTCAATAGCAGACCAACATTCAGCATCTTACATCATAACGATGGGAAGGGGTTAATCGCACAATTCTTCATTTGCCCGCAGAAGCAGCTCACTGGCCAGAAATCATATTTTAGTAGATTAAAGCTGTTCCAAGCCATCATCTTTTTTGGCTAAGATATGCGTCCAGCAAGTTCATTCGGTCCATTTGACGGCCAAAGTATCGCTAGTTCGTGCTTGTTAGACTTTTTCGAAATTCACATGGGTAGAACTATCAAGTCATCGCTCGTTTCAGCTCCATTTTATCTGGCAGAACTTAACCTCAAAAGTCATCATGAGAGAACCTCGTCGCAACGGATCTGGATCTTCTGTTTGAGCTGCATCGTGTGTTGGGCAAACACGATACAGCAGTCCAAAAATAGTAATCCGCGTAACCTGTTGTTCATTAATATTGACACCCTTGCTCTGATTTAGCCGCTTGAAAAGTGACTCCAAGACCGCGGCGAAGAACGCTGGTTAGATGGTATCTTTTTGGCATACTCTTCAGTAGGTACTCATACGGCACGGTTCGTAAAACGTTTGACAAGCGCTTTGAACAGTACCGTTTCTCCTGCGTTAAAGTGTTATGGTCCTCTATCATTATTGCCTATAAATTTTCAATTTTTAATGTTTTTGATTGTCCACTCCACTTCGTCTCAGGTGACTTCAGGAACGGCTTCTGGGGACAACGTGTGGCAACTTCCGATTCATTCCTACTTTGGAAGAGTATATTTTTTAGAACTTCGTACAGATCGAGTTTTCCGACTGAGCTAAGTAGTTCTTGCTCCTGATTTGTCTTTTAGTGTTATTTCAGGCGAATATCTAGTGTCATCGCTTATAGGCCTCCGCTCTGTATATCCTCTTAATCGAATGCTCCTGTCATCTTCATTCAACTTCTTCCGTACCTGTTTGCACAACGCTACGTACACTTTGTCCATTTTCTCATCAGCCTTCGATTGGGCTCTCTCAGCCGTTAGCTGCGTTGTTGAGAGGTTGATGCATTCGTTCCTCGTTGACGTTGCTGTCCAGCTTGATGTTCTACAGGCAGTCGTGAGGGCATTGTCAAAACGGTCGCAATCCCCATCCTCATCCCTCGCCGATGTTCATTTCAAGGTGTGTTATTGACAGCTTCTTCGCGACAGATTCCAGCCGGCCGACCCGTCGTTGTTCTCCACAATGAGCTGATCTTTGAGCTCAGTTCTTCTGTTTCGACACGGATCGTAACGTAGAAGCCCGTGTGCTCTTACTCTGTACAAATGTGCTCGTCTTTGACCGACATTATTCGTTTCTAATCAGTCAGTCAATACAAAGACTTTCTGTCTGGACTTCTTCATGCTCACTGTCGTTCATGACGTGTAGATAATTGCAATTAAGTGAAAATTACGAAGAGATCTTAACGTTCATTTCTTTAGCCTTTTCCGATAAATATTCCGAGTCCCTCATCTTCTCCGGCTTTCCAATTCCTCCTAGAATTGCTCGATTTCTTTATGTTCAACTTTTTAGGCTGGGCTGTAAGCTTGGACCATTTTTAGTGTTGTTTTGTCCATTTGTAAAAGTGGAATATCCACTCCAGGTGCTACTTTGCCACAGTTCACTATAGATAGTATATCCTGCCTCTGTTATCAAAACTATAAATAAAAGACATTGCTAGAGAGTTTCTGTTGGTTTTCCGTTGGTACGTTTGGCTTTGGAAATGGTGCATAAAACGACTCCAGCAATTTGAGGCGTTGGTGCCCCTGTCCAAAATTTCACAGTCTCCATTTTTCAGAATCCACTGGGCTCGATGATGGTTTGAAAAAAATTGGCAAAGTTCACGGGGGTTAGCATTCCACACCCAGGCTTCAAAAAAATGGAAACCGACATAATGTGAAGCCTTTTCAAGACAAAATATGGAGAATGCAAACGAAAGATTTTGCCTTTAGCCATGGGTTTAAAGGCAGCAGCTGAAAAAATTTCGCTCAGCATCACGCCAATGTCAATCTTGCTTGTACGTTAAAGTAAGACTTAAGCGATGACAGGGTCAATGAATTTTGCAAGGCAGACATCGGCTTAACTCATTATTCCATAGCGTTGGCAAAAATCTGAATACATAAAATGCTGGCTCTTTTATAAATGGTTTGACTGTAACATGATTAATCGACTACGGCAGTTTTGGCTTCTCCATTATTTAAGGTGAGCATATCTTTCTTTTACCTGTGTTGAAAAGCAGTACTTTTGGATGACGTTATTCGAGCAGAAAATATTCGCCTTCGCCTTTGCTGACATTTCGCATGCGCAATTTATTGGCAATCCAGGACGAAGCAGCTCGTTTTGAGCTGTCACCATGGTTCTAACGCAAATCATGCACTTCTGATGATCATGTAAAAGAGTAAATAATTTTTAAATTTTTAATACCTCAAATATCTGCTTATACGCAATGATTTGACGTATCTTAAAATTAAACGTACTCCAATGCACGGTGTAACAAAACTTGACTTGAAGAACGCCCAAAACGAAAAGCAACGTTAAACGTCGACCAGTCAGAAGCTAAATTAATTCTGTTTCCAGGAGATCAAAGAAGGGTTGCGCTGCGCCGAGTCGTTGGGCGCATTCATTGAGGTGCTGGCGTTGAACGCGTCGCTTCTACTCATAAATGGGCTACAGGTTTCGAAGCCGCTTCTAAACGTGTTGTAGCCGGTCGCGGAAGAAATGTCCTTCGCGTCCGATTCTAAAGGGAAGTCTGAAAGAGCATCGACGCCCGCACTTTTCATCTTTTCCAACATCGACTTCTGAAAACGAGCAAAAACTACGTTCAGTTTAGAGTAGCTAATTAACTGAAACGAAACTTACTATGTTTTCCACCGTAGGAATCCAAACTTTGCGATCAGGAAGTCCGGCAGGGTTGTACGCCTCATCATCGCTACATTCCACCAGGATCATATCATCGTTCATTGCGGAATTAATCATCAATCGCGATACTGGATATACCGATATATCTGTAAAAATTAAGTCAAATTTTTAATGCGAGTATCCCATTCAAATAGCAGAAATCTCTCACAAGACGACAGCAGTAACAAGTTTGTTACCTGCAACGATCAGCAGACCCGATCCGTTATTTGGAGTAAAAACAAGCATGGCAAGAAAATCTTTTCAAAAATATTTTGCGTTGTCTTACTTCACTGCTCCCTAAATACCACACCCTCATCGTTGTCCAATGAAGCAGACAATGATCAGGTTAAGGGATTACATGGCAGGGTGAAACAAAGCCGGCTTGTCCCCATTCACCTCCGACGATAGCCTTGAAGGACAATTGTGAACGCTGCAACGGTCAGCCAACGAGGATCGAATCGATCATCATAAAATCTTGACTGATCATAACCACCCTATGATTAGGAAACGGCTGCCGCTCTTCAACCAGTCGGCAGACGACCTATCCTAATTGTAGCCACTGTTTCACAAGCATGCACCTGAATGCATCGTACTTCATTGCTGTATCATGCTCTACACTTCTCTTGTTACAGAAAACAGAGCATAAAGGATGGAAATAACGGAACCGGAAGAAACATGAAGTCAAATCACTACACCAGGGTTTCTGTCCCTGGCTCCTCAATGCTCATGCGCCCAAAAGGCCTCCTAATTGGCAAAAAGCTCGCCCGTCGACTACAAGCACATGACGAACTTCACAGGTTGATGACAGATCAAGCATATCTGACACCTCAGATTCTGCATATTGAATTTGCTGTCGTATTGCAAAATTCACCCGATTGTATTCAACTGTTATTTCACGTCAGTAATCATGTACAAGAAACTTTCATCAATCGAAGAATCTTTGTTGAAAAAATTTATTTATCAAACATTAAATTAACTTCATAATTTACTGAGAAAAAACATATATAGGTCATGCCTATTTCAATTTACAACTTAAATTTACATAAAAACAAATATTCAAATATAAAACTTCAAGCCAAAAAATGTGATAAGAAAATTGCGACAAGCATTTCTCACAAAATATCCAAGATAACAAAGTTGTCAATCCATAAAACGATAAGAAAAAACAGCGGCCAAAAATAATGCAGACGTTTAAATAACGGGCTGGTATCTTCTGCAAGGCAGAGTCGACAAACTGTTAGCTTCACGGAAATGAGCGAGAAATTGGCACCGCCGAACTCCGCCACCATTTAACAGATGTTCATAGGGTGACGCGTAAGGTCACTTACCGAATGTCGATTTTCCTCGTTCCGCGAAAAGACACCGATGAGCTGTCTCATGCAACGTACGCCCGTTGTAAACGGAAAACACCACGGTTCCCACACCTCAATCGTCGGTGGCAAACCTGGCTGCCAAGCGTGATGATCGTAGCCGCCAGTTGTCCTCAATTGGATCCAACTTCCCCTGAAGCACTGGCACTTTACTGAAGACATTATTTTGTCGTGATGCCCCGCCACGGGATACGAAGTCCTTCTTGATCTCGACGCCCGCTGAAGTTTCATGCTTTTTTCCCCAGGAAGAATTAGACTTGTGCGGTGACGTCACTTTCATGTTTCGCAATACCTATAATTAATCAAAATGAGATTTTTAATAAGTCATTAAAAGCATTTCGCCACTGACCTGAAGCGGTACAAATGCTCCAGAGTGTGGCTGCACAGGGATAACTTTTGCCTCTGGATAAACAGGAATTCCGCCGTAGAACAACGGTCGGCTACTCGCACTCAAACAGACATTTCTTCTGGCAGGAGGTGGTAAGTAAAAAGGCATACAAGGTCTGGCAGGACGTACAGGAAAGTTCTGGTTCATGAAGGCAGCGGGCCTGGACATCACCTGAAAGTCGGCAAAACGATATGGAAAAACAGAATCGATGCTCTTCTATTTCGTCATCGCATACAACATAGCAAATTAAGGTAAAATCGTAACAAAACATTACCAAGAAGCAGAGCCCTTCGAACAGTAACCTCTCTTCTCGAGAGGTCTCATCGAGCGTGGCCAAGAGTTAAGCGAGAGATAGTTTGATAGCATTACGAAACAATATTTTTACAGCTGTAACTACCCGAAGGCATTAGTATCTCAGAAATGGAAAAATCGAACAGATTTATCTCACTTTTTATCGTGTATTAATTATCATACTGAGAGGTCAAGTAAACCAAGACAACATGCAACCGCAAATGGTATTAGCAATACACAGAATGGCTGTATATCTTGCAGTATAATACGATCATATTTAAGTGGCATGCTGCTCCTGCTGCTTACAATTCAGTGATTAGCTACAGATTTTTCGGGTGAATGTGCCAAAACCAAGTTGAGTAAATTGCGGTTAACACTACGTTTGTCCTTTCTGAGAACCTGGACCTAGTATCTCCAGAGGTCGAAGCCCGCCGCTTTAAAACTGTACCACCGCGCCGCCTGGAAGATCCGAGGACTGGCTCCTTTGAAATAGGCACCGTATTTCTTCCTGACCATTACACCATTAGCAATATCAAAAAGAAACCATACTTAAGACTTCTATCATTGGAACATATCCCCGCTTTGACGGATTATGGAATCAGTGTTCAAGTTTGAACGTCTCATGTATTTGTCATCTGAGAAGCGGAACGTTGCAGTAGATTGCTGCTTTACTTTGTATGTTATGTGCCCGGCTTGAGAGCGATGTGCGGTGCAACATTTTTGCTTAATATAACACCTAATTTCCTTGTGCTTCGATACAAGCTGAAGATATGGGTAGCCATTCAATAACTGACGAAGAACATGGACGGTAACGTCACAGCGTAGGACACATGGAAACATACCCCCCCCCTCAAATGCGCGTGCGGGCGCTTCACGACGTAACTGCCTTGAAACTCCTGACAACGTACCA